GGTTGGCAGCTCAGCGGCAGCTCAGCTTGGACGAAGCTCACTGGCCCATGTGGGAATCGAACCAGCGAGTCTGTTGCTCAGAGCTCACGCTCTTAACCAACTGAGCCACTCTGCCAGCCTGATATTTACTTTTAATAATTTTGATTATACAAGTGTGCTTTTTGTGCATTATGCCATTATATTACTTTACAAAAATGGGTTAATACCATGCATATTCTCTTGCAATTTTCTATTAAAAAAAAAAAACCTTAATATATCTTTGATAGCTTCCATGTTACAGTGTATTTCTATTTTACTATCATAGTCCTTTAACATTCTATAATTATTTAACCAGTCCCTTATTGCTAAACATTTGACTTGTCCTCAGTTTTGAGTTTTACAAACAGTGCTACAGTAAGCATCCTTATAGATATATCTATGTACATTTTAGCAAGCGCTTACATTTCAGGAAATGTCTTATTTTTTTTTTTCCTGCAGATGTTATGGAAGCAGGTTCACAATTACCCAATGTTTAACCTCCTTATGGAAATTGACTCCTATATGTTTGCATGTGTGAATCAAACTGCTGTATATGAGGAGCTCGAAGATGAAACAAGAAGACTCTGTGATGTCAGACCCTTTCTTCCAGTTCTCAAGTTAGTGACAAGAAGTTGTGACCCAGGGGAAAAATTAGACTCAAAAATTGGAGTCCTTATAGGAAAAGGTAATTAAAAAAATTTTTAGTATGAATTTTGAACATGTCTGTTGCTATCTGTACAAACATATAGCAAGTGTAAGACTGATTTGAAAAGTGTGGTCCATGGACCAATGCTGGTCTGTAAATTGTTAGAAGTCTAAGATAAGAAATCAAGAGTAAATGTTTAGAAAATCCTCTAGCAATCTGATAGTGCCATAGTAATCCAAGGGCTTATATGTTTTGTATATCTTTTTGTTTGCTACTCACATTTTTATTTTACAAAAATACTGTTTTTTTGACAGATTGGGAAGAAAAAGGTTATTTCTTTGCTTTAGATAGTTTGAGGAGCTCCTTTCTAAGAGATCCTTTGTTTTGTGTGAACTGCCCTTTTGTATGAACATAATTTATACACAACTCCCTACACCAACCAAGACTTGAAGCTCATAAATTTCCAAAAGTAATCCACATTGACAAATTTACTCCATAATTAAAATTATCTTCAAGCAAAAGTTATTTTTGTAGTGAGTCAAGTTAAATCATGTCTACATTATTTTTTGCAAATTAATTCCAGGGAGAATTTTGAGTAGTAACAAAATGAAAAACATGGAGGAGTCTCTCTTGCTGTAATAATCTTAGGTGTCTCAGGGGCCAGTGGTATACTATCAATATCCTACCTTACACAAGATAGTAACTTGAATTAGGCATTTTAAGGGGTTATTGAGGAGGAGAGTTTAAATACAAACCCGAAATACCCATTTGAGGTTTTTGGATCTGGTTTAGCTACCTGTATTGATCAAATTTACTGTTAGATGATAAATATAGTCCCATCCCCTTTAAGATAGTAAATATCTTTAAGATAATATAGAATCATCCCTTCT